TATACGTACAACCAAAAAAAGATTTTGTATTTCCATAAGTGGGGTAAAACTATGGAATAATTTAAGTGTAGACATAAAAAATAGTAATAGAATTGATGAGTTTAAACATAAATATTAAGGTATGTGTCAATCAAGATATATGCAAGAACAGGATTAATGATTAATTACATGGACAATTGTGGGTGTGGTGTATGAATGTTAATACTTTGTAATAATTCTTTAGTTTATTACTTGTTTGGTGTAGTAGATAATTATTTAAGAATGTAATTATGTATGAATGTTAACACTGTTATAATCTATTTTTTTAATATATTACTTGTGTGGGTAGAAGTGAATCATTTACTGCTTGCAAACCAATGATAGTAAGATGATGTCATGGGGTAGGACTGGATAAGTCTGACTTCTTCCTACTCCATTCAACCATGTACTAGGTATAAGCAAATTGATATTGGATTATGTGTAAAAGTATGTGTGTTGTTATATCAACTGTTTTTACATGCTTGAAAGAATAAATCAAATCAAATCAAAAATCAACAGTTAGAAGAAAAGGGTGGATTTGGGGTACATTCAACCAAAGTCCACACCCAGAACCCAAAGGAAACAGCAGGTCCACACACACCCAGATACAAAAAGTCTTCTTTTATTTTTTGTTTGTATTGTATGTTTCTTTCATTTATGTTTCAGCACAAGGGCCTTCTTCAGTGTGGATATTCCCTTAGATTTGACCATTGCCAATGTGGATGCTTTTGGTTGTTAGTTGAAATAGCTAGAATAGTTGGACACCTGAAAACCATACTGGTTATATATCAGTAGAGTATTATTAATTCTATATAAAAGACAATGTGTCCTAAATTAATTCCAGAATAAATCCAGCATTCATCTATATATTCCATCCAATCTGAAACAATGCAGTGAACACAGATGAGTTTGCAAAAGGTTTACCCAATGAAAGAAAACATGAGAAGTTTTGCTGTTGAGATTTCACAATTTGCCCTCCACTGGAGGAGAGCAAGACTTGAACCGGGGTTAATGGAGCAGGAAAACATACATTACAGCTCCCTTTAGGCCATGATGTGTTTTATCTCAAAAACTAAGAAGTTGCAGGGATACAGGACGTCAGTGCTCTTTTCAGTAATGCAACATGGCTCAGAGTTTTGTATGTAGAATGAACGAGCTTGTCTGCTTGTTCAGAGAAAAATGTTGTTTTTTTTTTTTTTGGTGGGCGGGGAGACAACTAATAAAATCAAATTTTTAATATAATTGCATGTTGTATAAAAGAAAAATAGCCCGTAGTTTAGTAAAACAAGCATGACACAGTTCGGTCCCACACATTGATCCGGCTGCTGTACCTTTGTTTGGCTAAAATATTGCTGCTGGAC